ACCCCCCCACACATACACACACACTCACACACACACACAATCACACAAGCACCCACACACTATAAGGACAAAATTAGTTCTAAACTTACTCAGAACTTTGATAATACAGAAGAAAAACAATTACTTCATTACCTAACAGCTTTAGTTCATAAAATATATGAGTCTGTAGTCTCACAAGCCCAAATTCTCTGGTGTGAGGGTGAAAATTCAAACGCTAACAGGACTGTTGACTCTTCTTTCTCTGAAATCAACTTCATCAAATTGTCTTGTCTGAGGCAGACATTAGCGGTTACAGTTGAGTTCCCCATACCGCTTTTTCCTTCGAGGCCCTTACGGGTGAGTTCGTTCCTCGTTGTGTTGCTAATTTTTGAAACACAGAAACAGAACACGTTAAAAAAATACTGGTGGTGACATAATATTATCAATTTATTCGAGTTTGTTTTAGAGAGACCCCCCCCCCCCTCTCTCTCTTCCTCCTTTCCCTCTTTCCTCTTCTCTGACAGTGTATTGTCTTCGGTACTACGGATAGTCCGGGTTCGAGCCTCGGTTCGGGCATGGATTCCCCCCCCCCCAACCCAGCAGTAATGGGTACCTGACTTCGAGATGGGGAAGTAAAGGCGGCGTGGAAAGGAACTAGCCACCCTACCACAATAATTATTATGCCGAAGGCCCAGGAAGTTGTCTCACTAACAAGGCAATCCCCAATGTCCTGATCGGATGGGGGAACAACTTTATTTTACTTCGATGGTAACCCTTTCACTGCCTGGCCCGAGACTGTCTCAGATTCAGTTGTTGGATTGTGAATAGATGATGTAGACGCGAATTACTGCGTTACAGAAATCCCCATGTTTATATCAACACACTCGTTTCTTTTTGTAATCGTAAAAGCAAAGGGCTGTGTATGGTTTAATTTGCTTCCTGCTGGGGAATTTTAGTCGATTATTTTTGTTTTGTTTTGGGCAGAACGCCTTTTAAGTCCATGAAAAACACATTCCCGCTTTGATTTTTACTGAAAAACTTAGATCAAAGACTAAACAAAAATGTATGTGCAGTTTCCAAGGACACTCAAACTTTGTTATTCCCCAAACTTTAGGTAGCCATTTTATTTTTTATTCTATCTCAAATACCATGCGATCCCCAACTTTCTCCGTGTCTTGTCTGGCCATAATGCCTATCTATGCATTATAAAGCTAATCCTTGGTGATAGTGCTAGACACAGAGGAAGTCGTAGACTACCCATGTAGGTTAGGCTACTACAAGCTCTTCCTACAAAAAGAGTCGAAACAGTCCACGTCCTGAATGATCTGAATTGTATTGATGGGGGGGAGTATGTGCGAGGTTATTGATTGTCTATGGAAACGAGGAAACGGCACGGCATGCGTCTTACAAGACGACGAGACCAAAAATTGTAGTAATTAGCCATAGCAGTTGAAATCATTTAAACTATAATATAATGAGGACATGATACGTTTTAGGGAAAGTAGTGATGGTAGGGGGTTTTTTCGGAAAGGGGTGGGGGGGGGGTCTAAGTCAATTGTTACGATTAACACAGTCGTCAGCTTTGACATACATACGTCCACTTATTTCGAAAGTTGGGCTTTAGACTAAAAATAATCATATGAGTGAAAGTTGGAAGAAAAAGGAAAACGATATGCCAAACACAAATAAAATATGTCAAAAGTTGGGCTTTTGACTTTTGACTCAAAGGTAAGAGTAAAGTAAAAAAAAAAAAAGAAAAAAGGAAAAACGGCACCGAAACAAATATTTGAAAAGTTGGGGTTTTGTTTCAAAAGTAAGAGAAAGCAGAAAAAGGGAAGGAAATGAAAAACATGAATAGATATTATGTTAAAATGTTGGACTTTTTCAAAAGTACAAGTAAAAGATATTGATAAAACGAGGACATGAGGTACAGATCAGACGAAAAGGGAAACATTATAAAGCATTGTTACACGTAATCCCACGCGTGTTTGTGAGTGCTGAGTTCGCATTTAGAATTTAGTTTCATTAAGACTTTTACGACACTTTTACCTACAATAAGATCATATAAGTGCCGAAGATTAGAGATGTTACTAGACAGTAAAAAGGACCCTCAAAAAGGGAGAATGAGAGATAAGGGCCATAGATGTCTTAAAGGAAAGAAGGAGCAAATCACACAAGAGCACCCTCCAACCACCAACGGTTCGCCCTCTCGTGTTCATCAACTCAGCTTAGGATTAAAACGGAAGAGGATGGATGAAGGGTGGGGGACACAAGGGGGGGGGGAGTTGAGGGCACTTTGGTGATGACTATAATATTATAATATTATGTCGTACACATTGCGTGTATGTTCGTACATACACACACGCACTCGCGCGCACACACATAGACATATGTTTATATATTTGTAATATAATACAATATAACACATATTGTTGTTTACTGTACATTCATTTATCCTTCCATTTAATTAACGTGTCGCCTATATTATCTTTTGAAGACGTTCAACGGGTAGGGGGTAAATAAATTTAATGATATTATTACATGTACCATATTATGTTATGATTTTGAGGAGATCTTTTCTCTTTGCTGAACGAAAGCAGGATCCAACGTCACAATTGGTTGATCAGTACTTTTCAAAACTTGCAAAAAATCATGGTTTGTCTTCTGTTTGTGTCTTGTTTATAATTCTTCATAGCTGTCTTTCTCTTTCTAGGACTTACAACAACAACAAAAAGATTCCAAATTGTGAAAATCAGCTGAAACAACGCCATACCTGTTACTCATTCATAAGTCTGAGTTGTCCGACTGAGAGTTCCAGCACCTCAGGTCGAGATGATAGTGTGGGGGTTCAAAACCCTTGTACTCCTGTATCTAGGCTCTCTATGCTTGCATGTGGCCGAGGGGCAGACGGTAAGACTTGTATTGTTGACGTTGTTGTTGTTGTTTTTGTTGCTGTTGTTGTTGTCGTTGTTGTTGTCGTCGTTGTCATCGTTGTCGTTGATGTTGTTGCTGTTGTTGTTGTTGCTGCTGATGTTGCTACTGTTGTTGATGCTGCTACTGTTGTTGTTGTTGTTGTTGTTGCTGTTATTATCATTGTTCTTGTTGCTGTTGATGGGGACCATGTTGTTGTTGTTGCTGTTGTTGTTTTTTGTTGTTTTGTTTTGTTTTTTGTCTTTTGCTCATGTTCAATACAGAAATTCAAGGTTTATCTCGGATGGAATGGGGTCCTTCCAGGAAAACGCCCTTAAAAACAGTTTTCTGTGCTAACTTTCGTCTACAATATGTTCTTCCCTATCTCTGTCAGAATGATAAACCTTCAGAAATATTTCACGACACAA